ATAAGGCACAAGTATCCCCTAAACTATGACCGAAATCTCATTAACACACCTTAACTAAAATAAGGTCCTATTACCCCCTGAACTTATTTTTTTTGTAATTTTGTACACCTTTTGTCTTACGTGGCACACTCTGTGAGTCCACGCAATTGAGGCGTGTGGGAGATATTTGGATGCCACATAAGCCAAAAAGGTGCATAAAATTACAAAAAAATGGGTTCAGGGGGTAATGGTACCTTAGTTTAGTTAAGGTGTGTCTCTGGAATTTCGGTCATAGTCTAGGGGGGTACTTGTACATTTTCCCTACAATTTATTTGTTTGGTTTCGAATTGACACAGAGTTTAAAAAATAAAAAGAATTTTGAATCGTGTGATCTCAAACTAAAGACACGTCGATCTTGGAGTCTTAGACTTATCAGGTAAAAAGTTAAAATTGAAGAGTTAGACCAAAAAAGTAAGAGGAGTTCTATTTGAAACGAGTGAAAAAAGGAAAGTAAAACAAACAAATTGAAACATAGAGAGTAACTTACCACGTTACAAAGTTCGCTAGGAAGTTGTTGAATGACAAGAGCAAAGCTATGAGACACCTTACGGAGAGTAGCGTAGCAGAAGGCCCAGTGTGGCTGCAACAGCCACACTGACGTCTTCTTCTTGACACGTTTAGCCGATAGCATGAGCTTCATCAATGGATATAATTCATCTGGATGCTTCATAATCTCCCCCATTAATTCTTCCTATAAAATTTATTTACTGCTTAGAAAATGGACATTACTGTTTCAGAAGAACAAGAGTGTCAACTGATAGTATATATATAAAGGATGAGGAAAATATTTCAGAACAAACAACATATTCCATGTAATTTTATAGGTGGGGTCCGAAGAGGAAGAGGTGTATGCAACCTAACTCCTGTGTTGTGAAAGTAGAAAAATTATTTCTGATAGACCCTCGGCTCAAGTAAAATAATGAAAGAATAAGTATGTCAAGCAAACATAGTTGAAGAAACCATGCCGAAAAGAATAGTAGCATTGATAAAACAATATGATAACCAAAGCAAAGTAACAAAATGCTAAGATAATCGAGAAGTAAATAAAATGACCCCATATTGCTATTCACCACTCATGTGTTATATTATTGTATTACATTATTATCATATATTATTGAGCTAAATTTTAATATTTAGGGTCATAAATACAGCTATCGGCATATTATAAAAAAATGCAATCAATGTATATTAGTTAATTCATATGTGGGATTGTGTCCAGATTTGCAAGATACACCTAATGGGTGGGTTCATTACACGTAACTAAAATTCTCATATCAAATAATATTTCTTTTATATTTTCGTATCAAAAATAATATCTCGTAAGTTATGTCTAAATATGAGTTTAGTTTCTAAAGAATTTGTGTCTCACTTGACATAAGTTTGATTGTTAAACAACAAAAAATTAAAACAAACTTATTTGAATGATGAAAATTAAAGATCGATCAGTCCATTTGTAGGGCAAATAAAAACAAACTTATTTGAATGATGAAAATTAAAGATCGATTAGTCCATTTGTAGGGTGCTAATTTATTATGTATATGATCTAATAATTCAGTAGGCTTGTGTTAACACTCGACAACGATTGATCAACTTCAAGAATATTGTTGACATCTCTTAACCAACATTAATTGTGATTAGCATTAATTAGTTAGATAATATCATTTGGGCATTTTAATTCAACAGTATTTTTTGGGATCTACTGTGCTAGAGAAATGCTTTCACTTAGGTAAAAATCGTTAGTTTCTTTATTTTAAAAGGAAAAGGCTCATATGTCATCGAACTTTGAGAAAAGACTCATGTTAAAAGTTTGGTTCATCTATGCCATTCATATTTGAGAAAAGGATCATCCATGACATTGTTTATACTTTGTTAACTAAAATGACATAGATGAGCCAAACTTTGAACGAATAGGACAGATGAGCCTTTTCTCAAAATTCGATGACATATTTGAGCTTTTTCCCTTTTAAAAAATGATATAATTAATGACGTGGCCGGATCATAATTGACCACGTGTTAAAAATGATTTTACAAAATCAAAAACAATTTTTAGTTAAAAAATAATGATATGGATGAGCCTTTTCTCAAATGAAATGGCATAGATGAGCCAAACTTTTAACGGATGACATAGATGAACCTTTTCTCAAAATTCGATGGCATATTTGAGCCTTTTCCCTATTTTAAATGGAGTGGACATTTTCAGTACATATTGAAACAAAAAAGGATTTTACTAAATTTATTTAGTTTTCAACATTTACTAAATATGTTAACAGTGTCCATGACAATTTATTTGTATCATAAAATCCAAAACAAAAAAGAAAAAAATATAAGAAAACTTTTTTCTTTCCTTTTCCAGAAAACAATTGAAGGGACCCACACTAACCGTTGGTATTTTTTTTTCTTCCAAATTTTCATCTTTCCTATGAATGTATGAAGCAAATTATAAATTCCACACATAATTTCAAATTTATGAGAAATTGATCTTGGTCATTTTCATATTTACTGGGATCTTGATTTATTTGTATCTTTTTCGATACAAATTTCGATCAACACAGCTCTAATTCTCAATCATATGCTAAAATCCGGAGATTTGGAAGATACATTCATACAAATTTTGGGTTGAAGGGGAAATTTTTCGGGTTATAATGTCTTCGAATTTGTATGCAGATCATTATAATCAAAAGATTGATTATGTTTTTAAGATTGTTTTAATTGGAGATTCCGCAGTTGGCAAATCTCAATTATTGGCTAGATTTGCAAGAAATGAATTTAGTTTAGATTCAAAGGCTACAATTGGGGTTGAGTTTCAAACAAAAACTTTGCTTGTTGATAACAAAACCGTTAAGGCACAAATTTGGGACACTGCGGGACAAGAAAGGTCAGTTTATTTTTTCAATTTTTCTATGTTTGGTTTTTTTTTTCTCGAATTTTGTCTTTCTTTTTCATTTTTCCCTGCAATCCATGCAAATTTTGGGAAAATTTGTGTAGGTGATATTAATTAGTTTGGAATTATGTGTTAGGCATGTTAGTACGTTTACTTTAGGTCCTCTGTTTTATGGAAGTCGCTTGGTTATAAAAATATAGAGAATTTTTAGTACTTTTTATTTTTTTGTAATATTGGTTTGAGATGAGCCTAAATGGAACGACCTGGTTTGTGAAGATTTAGATAGCCGACCCTAACTGGCTTGGGATTGAGGCGTTCTAGGAGTTAGTACGTTTACTATTTCTTGGAATCGTTTAGTTTTGTCAGAGGTATAAAAAAATATAGAGAAATCCTAGTGCTTTTTATATTTTATTTTGTGTTGTATTGGTCCGAGATGAGCCTAAATGGAACGACATGGTTATTAGTTAGAATTCATATTGCTGATCCCAACTTGTTTGAGATATTTGAGACGACGTTCTTGTGTTTTGTGATAAATCTTCTTAAAGAGTAGTTTAAATCGCGATTTAGACTTCCATATGTATGTTTATTTTTGAGTTTTTGTTTCTATCATTGTACAAGGTAGATATCTGTCTTACAATTCATCTCTTTTGAGTCGAGGGTCTGTTGGAAACAACCTCTCTACCCCACAAAGGTAGGGGTAAGGTCTGCATACATCTTACCCTCCCCAGATCCCATTTTTGTCAGTAAACATTTACCTTCTGTTAAGCTATGTTGCTTGGACTCTTGACAAAACTATTGTCGGGATCCTCCAAAATGCTCTACTTTTGAAGGATCCACTTTTGAAGAGTCAGAGCAACACATCCAATTTGATAATTGTAGTAACTCAATGAATCATCTCTCATTTCTCTCTCAGGTATAGAGCAGTAACAAGTGCATATTATCGAGGTGCAGTTGGCGCGATGCTAGTCTATGACTTAACAAAACGCCAATCATTCGATCATATGGCTAGATGGCTGGAGGAACTAAGAGGTCACGCGGACAAGAACATAGTTATAATGCTCATCGCGAATAAATGTGATCTAGGAAGTCTTCGAGCTGTACCAGTTGAAGATGCTCAAGAATTTGCAGAAAGGGAAAATCTCTTCTTTATGGAAACATCAGCTCTTCAATCCACAAACGTCGAGGGTGCATTCATGACAGTTTTAACAGAAATTTATAAAATCATTAGCAAGAATACTCTCATTGCAGTTCCGGGAGCTGATTATGGGAAGTCGCAATCTTTAAAGGGAACCAGGATTATTGTTCCTGGCCAGGATTCAGATTCTGGTGGGAATAGTGGTGGTTGCTGCATGTCGTCATGATTTTTTATCGAGTTCTGGAGGTCTTTTTATTTATCCGAAATCATAATATAACTGGGAATGATTTATGTTTTTATGTAAAATAGGGAATTGTTGTCGATGATGAAGTTGATTTAGATAGTTTGTTTAGCTATTTGTGTATACAGTTGATTAAGTTGTTTACTGGGCATCAGGGGCGGAGCTACAACCCTGTCTATGGGGTCTGTCATGTATTTGTGTTCAAAATTTCACTTAATACGTATAAACAATTTATCCAGAATCTACTATTCTTGCTTTTCTAGAATACCACACTGATAAATTCAAAATCCTAGCTTCGTTAAAGTTACAAACACACTAGTCTGGTGAACGGGAATGATAAAAAGAGTTTGTAAGAGACATTATCCGCCAGGGTCTAGGTCTAGGGAGCTCAAGCACATCTAGGGTTGATAATAAAATTAGATGGGCCGCGATTGTATGCTTGGAAGAAAGCAACATTGAACGTTACAAGGTAAAAATCTATATAATTATGCCTGATCAACAGAAATGTAAGGCAACAGAGTTTTCATTTCATGATTAAACACAGTGAACACCTTGTACAAACTTTAATCTTGTTGAACAGTTAATGTAAGTGCAGATTCCAGATCCCTCGAGGTGGAGTAACTACAATATTCTACTCACATGATATGTAGTTCCTCCAATCGAACTAGTCTTGATAAGACCACTGGTGAGATAGTACTCGATGCTTATTCAAAAACTCGAACATAATTAGATTGGTTCAATTTTCCTTTCTCCACTGGCACCTCCTCTAACTGAGAATCTCTGATGCTGAAAATTACCAAATTGACAAGTTTGCCAATAATGGATATGTCATCCAACCATAAATTATTCCAAATTGACAACCTCTGAATGGATGCTGGAAAAGGCGAAATGGTTTACTCATTCCAACAAAAAAATCATCATGTGATGTGATCAATCTTTCAAAACAATGTAGAATGCAAGATGACATGAGAAAATAAATCTACATATTAGCTGTTAAATATAATGAAAGATGAATTTAGAATCACAGGCGGATTCCAAATTTATAGTTTACAGAATTCTGCAGTGACCTCAAGTTTATATCACAATCAACTATTTATTAGATATTACTAATACATATACTAGATCTATAGCCAATAACCTAATGTAGATCCGCCTCTGCTTGTTAATTACCTCCATCACGAGCATATGTATCAGGTGATGTTCGAGGTTTTACTTGCATTATTTCATTGAATTTTTCCTACCAGCTTCCTAACTTCTGGCATGACTAGGTTCAGCTTCGTCGTCATCACTAGCTTCTTCGTCTTCTTCACTAGCTTCGTTGTCATCAAGAGCTTCGTCGTCATCACTAGCTTTTTGTTCCTGCAGGAAACAGAGAATGCTAAAAAAGAGAGAGATGACTAGCTTATTAAGTACAACAAAGTTGACGAACTTAAATAACTATCTAAAAACAGAAAGAGAGCAGTAGAACCTAATTAGAATATCATGTAGCAATTAGTTATATAGATAGCGGAATAGGACATACCTTGTTATTGAACCTCTGCTGTATCCATTTATTCAGATCATCTACTTTCACCTTATTATCATAATTCACCCAGTTAAGACTCGGTGTACTCACAGATATTCCCTGTTGGACAAACGTCTTCATTTCAGGGCAGCCATGAATAATCACGTCCTTGAGAAATGGAAATTCGAGAGTACACTCCGTCAGAAAGAAATGCCCCAGCATAGGCAGATTGGTAAGATCCAACTCTTCCAATCGGGGAAATAAGGTTATGATTCCTTCTCCTTTTGTGATCACTTCTTCCATTGATTGGCACTTTCCTATCCTTAGTTCTCGGAGATTCAAAAGACCTCTGGCCACTGATGGAGACATCAAGTTTCTCAATTTTCCACAACACCATACATCCAATGTTTGAAGTTTGGTGAAGTAGGGAGTTGGAAGTTGGTGAGAGCATAGAGCACTTATGCTGCTAGGCCCCACGATGTGTAGCTCTTCCAAGTTGGGACAAGAAACCTGCAAACATTGTTGCAGATAGAGTTGGAGCTATTGGAAGAAAACACTAGGCCTAAAGTGCTTATACACACATTTATTTATACTAGTCCTCGGAACGTGCGTTGCACGTTTGTCCCCTAATTGACATTAGAAAAGTTAATTAATTTATATAAGTAAATATATCATCGTGGAGCGTACAAATATTCATCGCTAAGTTTAAAGCTAAGTCCTTTTGTATGTAAGTTTGACATAAAAATATAACTATTCAAAAATTATAGCATGAAAATCTGATGTTAGATGTTGGAGGTTTGATATTTTTTTAAATCTTCATGAAGAAAAATCTTTTATTATATCAGAAAAATTAATATATTTTAATTACTAAATGTAAGTTTTAATAATCAAAAAAGAAATTGGCTATAAAAAAGAAAAATATTACAAAATGTCTGTGTAACATTAAATTTATAGAAAAAATTACAAGTTCAAATAGAAAAGAAATATATTTTAAAAATATTTCTTATTTTATTATAAATATCAAAATAAAAATTAATGGTTTATTTACTATTTATAAACCATTTATTTTCTTCTTTTCCATATCTATTTATTTTCAAACTAAAAAAATGAAATAAGAATATGAAACTCAATAATGATAAGATAATAGATCTATAAAGGAGATATTTAAAACTTAAATTAACGGTTGAATAAAATAAGTCACAAAAATTCACATCAAATATAGCCTTATATGTATTTTTAAATAACAAATTAAAAAAATTAATTTAAGATTATTTTTCACTTGTTAGACAAAAAGGATATATCTAAGCAATAGACTTTGTTTAAGTAAAAGGTAGTAAGATTTTGGTGATAAGAAGCAAACCTTTTCATGGAAAAGAGGATTTGAGTCTGTGATGGAGTTGTTGGCTGTAGGATACCAATTTTGGAACCTACGTAAGTCCCTTAAGCGCATTTTCTGTAACTGAGGGAACTCAATGCCCTCAACATTGTTACTGCAAATGTGAGTCAGGCAATGCAGAGATTTAAGTTGCAACTCATATAAATTGGGGAACTTGATTACTTCATGTGTCCTCTTCAATAAATGTTTCACTAAATAACATTCATAGAGGGAGAGACATTTTACGTTCTGAAATTCATTCAGCTGCAACTCAGTCAACACATTATTAGAGCCCATTCCCTTTGAATATACATGTTCGCTCTCCTTCAACAGGTAGCAGATCCAATCACCCAATGGGGCAGTCTTTGTGACCTTTAAACCAATACTCTTGTTGTAATCAAAGCTTGACTTCCTATGGTAAACTCCACCCATTTTAAGAGTGTACCGTGTCAACTTGGAGGGAAGGCCAAGGTTACTGTACATCACATCACTCAAATCATTTACTCCCACCATATGTAGTTCCTCCAATTGAGCTAGTAATTTTGATAACACCCCTCCTGAAATCCTTCCAAGTGCTCTTATCTCATTCCAAAACTCTAACCTAATTAGCTTGGTCAGTTTTCCAATCTCCTCTGGTAGCTCATTTAACACACAATCTCTTATGCTCAGAATTTTTAATTCGACAAGTTCCCCAATAAAGGATATGTCATCCAACCTTAAATTACTCAGACACAGCGTCCTCAGACTTGACAACCTCCGAATGGATGCTGGAAAACTCAGAATGGAGTCTTCATCATATCCACTCAGGCTTAAGACATTAAGGTTACTCATTTCATCAAAAAAATCATCCTGTAGAATGGAGTTCTCATCATATCCCCTCCGGCTTAAGACACTGAGGTTACTCATTTCATCAAAAAAATCATCATGTAGTTTGAATGGCTCTCCAAAACAGAGTTTTAACATTAAAAGCTTCAGTTTTGGGCAAAATATTGGCCTGGGAAGCTCCTCAAATTTATATGCAATAATTGACATGTGACTAAGATGCTCATAAGAAGTTCTACTTGGGAGCTCTTTTGAGTTAACATCGTGACTTACCATAAAGTTATGCTCTCCTTCAGATGCAATACTTATTGCCACATTACGGACCACATCATGCATTTTCACATGATTTTTGTCTGAACCTTGGGATAACAAGAAACAATCTTTCAATATTTCTAATAGATGACACACCCTATTTCTTGCTCCTTGTATATTTTTAATACTCGAAAAGATGCCAAGCCCCATTCCAAATGTAAGCAATTCTTCAGTCTGAATATCACTATCTTCCTGGAACAAAGAACAAAGCAAAAAGAGGTACTTTGCTTCATTCTTGCCCAAGTGGCGATAGCTTAGCCTCAGAGATTCATACACCTTTTCGTGCACTCCCGGGATATTTATTGGTTCTGCATCATGTAATTGTCTACGGCCATCCTCCCACGAAGTCTTGGTTTTATGCTTAAGTGCTCCTGCAACTACAATAACTGCAAGCGGCAGCCCCTTGCATTCTTTGGCAACCTCTTTTGCTATGTCAATCAGAGAAGGATCGTTGCCAAAATCACCGACTTTCTGACTGAAAAGGAACCATGCTTCCTTTTCAGATAAGGTTCTGACTTCCATGATCTTCTGAGCTTCCATTGCTTCACAAACATTTCGGGATTGTGTTGTCAACATCACTTTGCACCGATGGTTGTGGTTGTTACCACTGGGAATTCCACGTTTGTCTAGATCATGAAGAGCCTCCCAAACATCATCCAAGATTATAAGGGTGTGGCTGTTCTGATCCATTAACCTTGTACGCAGCTGATCTCCACGACTCCACAAATCACCCCCTGGTAATGTCAGCCCGAGTCCTGCTGCGATCTGACCCTGAAGTTTTTCCCAGTCTGGTTGTTGACTGACAGTTACCATGACAACATCTTTGAAGAACCCTTGTTGTTTCTCCTTTAGTCTGATTTTCTCAGCAAGTGTTGTTTTACCAACACCACCCATACCACATATCCCAATCATAGTGACCCCTTCATCTCTCACAGCTGCCATGACCTCTTCCTCTTTCAATTTTCTGGAGTCCAACTCCTCACCATTGTTACTGTATATAGCCTCATTTTGAACTGGACGATCAAAGGAGATTACAGTATTTTGAAGTTTAGTTAATTCCTCTGTAATTTTCTTAGCTCTCTTGCTGAGGGAGTAACATGACTCCAAGTTTGGACAGCAACCATAAAAGCAACCCCTTTCAACCTCATCTGTACCTCCCATTACATCTTCCACTTTTGCAATAGTGGTATCAACACTAGTTAACTAAACCTCGCCATTGAGTGAAATGCGTTGTAAGTTTCTCCGGGCAACTTCCGCTTTATCCTGCACCTCACTTTTGATGTTCTTCAGCTTCTCAGATTCATTTTCCATAGATGTGATGTTAGTGTTGTAGCAATATAAATACCCAATCCCTCGCCCCACTGGCTTCACCAAGCAATCAATGACTTTCCCCACCAAATTAGATAAGAATTCCATAGCTAGTAATAAGCCTTTTTACAACTATGAAGTCTGAACTCTGCTATTGATTTTTTTTTCGCTTTCTAATTCTCTCTTATTGATTGGTTTTCGTAGTTACTGGGAAGTAGAGGTGTAAAAATGGTGGAAATGGAGAGTTTGGTATGAAAATGAAATATCAGAGAGTGGAAATGGAGAATTTGATATGTAAATGAAATATGAGAGAGCGGAAATGGAGAATTTGGTATGAAGATGAAATATGAGAGTGGAAAGGGAGAATTTGGTATGTAAATGAAATATGAGAGCGGAAATAGAGAATTGGTATGTAAATCAAAGAGTAGCAATGGAGAATTTGGTTGTTTTGTTCCAAGTAATATATTCACTGAAATTTATAAGCTGAGCATTTAGGTTTTGAGTATAAGAAGAGTGGGGTCAAAATGATAACATTTTAAAGTCTAATAATTCCATATAGTATACTTGTTCAGATAAATTAAGAACAAGTTTGTTGTTTACCTAACTTGTAAATTTTATATTCTCAACTACCAGTCCACTTGCTTGCTTTTATGACCACTAAAGCACTTTCCTTTTAAATTAACTTAATTTTCTCCTCCAATGAACACAAACCATGTGACTGCTTCAATAGATTGGCAATATATAAAGCCTAAACAAGTTTGTTGTTTACCAAACTCCTAAATTTTATATTCTTAACTACTAGTCCACTACCTCTCTTGCTTTTAGATAATGGGAACTTGCCTTTTAAAAGATTTCTTATTGGCTAATGAAAACATGATTCTTGAATAATTTAAGTCATGCCCTTCTGGAAACTGAAAATTTAAGTCCTTAAAAGATTCTTTTGTTCATATTAGCTTTTCTCCTCCAATGAAATATAGAGCAAAAGTATAATCCTTTTTTTTTTTTTTTGACAAAAAGTCCTTATGGCTAGTTGATCTCAACTACCAATTCAGATATTGAATCAAAAGATTATACACTTTTTCATCAATACTGATGGAAAAAAAGAAGGTGAGAGAATTCTGAGTAGCACAAATTCGAGGTGTAGTTGTTAGAAAAATAATCGGAAGTATAAATTGAAGAAGAAGATGACTTTGAGGCGTGTAATCACTTTCTTTAAAGAGATATTTCCCATATACATATTGGGGTAAATACAAACAATTCTCTTTAAGGATACAACAAAACCCTTGGATATACTTTCAGAATTTTCTTAGGCTACTTCTAGAGAGTCTTTATATTTATAGAAAGTTATGTTCTTTCACGAACAGATGACCTTTTCATAAAGGTCATGTTGTTTCATGAACAAATGACTTTTCATAACAAGTCATGTTCTTTCACGAACAAATATGCTTGTTCATTATAAGACCTTTATATATTACAAAGTATCCAACAGTAGTCTCCCATTAGTATTCGCGCTTTAGACTTCTGCCTTATAAAAGGCCATTTTTCTGTCTGTGTGATGAGTATGATGATGAGAAGTCTGAAACTGCGAAACATGTACAAATAGAAGAAGAGAGATGGTGCATAGTTCATGTGCTCATGCAAGTATGTTTAGCATTTAAATGGCGAATTCTACATAGGACTTTTACGACTATGCAGTGATTATGTCAAACGGAATATCTATCTTATGATGTATCTTGAAACTCGCCTCTTACTTTTGGGAGCTCGAGCACATCTAGGGTTGATAATAAAATTAGATGGGCCACGATTGTACGCCTAGAAGAAAGCAACATTGAAGATTACAAGGTAAAAATCTATACAATTATGCCTAACCAACAGAAATGAAAGTCAACAGAGTTTTCATTTCAAGATTAAACACAGTGAACATCTTTTACAAACTTCAATCTTGTTGAACAGTTAATGTTACTGTAGTCAACCACGTTAAGGATTCCAGATCCCTCGAGGTGGAGTAACTACAATGTTCTACTCCCACGATATGTAGTTCCTCCAATCGAACTAGTCTTGTCTTGATAAGACCACTGGTGAAATAGTACTCAATGCTAATTCAAAAACTCGAACATAATTAGATTGGTTCAATTTTCCTTTCTGCACTGGCACCTCCTTTAACTGAGAATCTCTGATGCTGAAAATTACCAAATTGAGAAGTTTGCCAATAATGGATATGTCATCCAACCATAAATTACTCAGACATAGCGTCCTCGGATTTGTCAACCTCTGAATGAATGCTGAAAAAGGCGGCAAGGTTTACTCATTCCAACAAAAAAATCATCCTGTAATGTGAACAATCTTACAAAACAACGTAGAATGCAAGATGACATGAGAAAATAAATCTACATATTAGCTGTTAAATATAATGAAAGAAGAATTTAGAACCATAGGTGTATTCCAAACTAGTTTCTGGACACGTGCCTTGCACGTGTGTCCCATGCAATTATTTATAAATTGGTTAGGATGATTATAATTCAACGAAAATATGTGTGTAATGAGTACTAACATGGAACAATCTCAAATAAATGTTATGATAATATTTTTTTTTTATAGAAAACTAAATTAAAGAAGACTAATAGAGAGAAAATATAAAAAATAAACATGGAATAAAAAATTAACATACACATCATTCTTAAGACTTTAATCGTAACAATATATACATGGAAAAAGAAATACAAAATCAGTATATAATTTTTTGAGTTTTTGTCGACACCTTCTCTCATATCCAATCAAAATTCAAGAGTCTTCTCCAACAAGTCAAACAAAAGCATGAATCAAATAGTATAATCACTTCATTTTCGTATATATATATATATATATATATATATATATATATATATACGAGGTTTAAAGTTTCAAAGTGTCACGACCCGAATTAAGGATCATGACCGGCGCTAAGAGGAAAGAATCCCAAAGCAAGCCTTAACATAAATCTACAGAAAATCGGGCAGAGTTTCCTTTGTTTATAGGCATATCCTGACTTTTTCCTCTGTCTTAGAAATTTACAACACAACCAATAGCAATTATAAGCCACAACATAATATCCATCAATGATCTAATGGTCCCGCAATAAAACCAATTCATCTCCAAATTACGAAAAAAGTTCTAAACTAGTCACTTGACTACAATTCGAAGAGCTAATCTTGACTCAAAACAAAGGAATGACAAATGGAGCGACTCTAAGAGTTTTTAAAAGAAACTAAATAAGCATAGCAAATCAATAGTTCTCTTGCCACGCGAAGCAATGCAAGGCTCACCAGATGCTACCAAAATCACACGCTAGTTAATGAAATCCTCCTCAAAAGCACCTGAGTTCTCTGTAAAAATAATTAGCTAGGAGTGAGACGCTAGCTCAGCTCTTTAAGAAGTAACCAATAACAGTGAACTCCTCATAAAGGAGTTAAATATTCATATCAGTAGATCCCTATTGAGGGATATCAGTAACAGTATACTAGTTCCACTTCCCACTAGCAAGGGCTTTATCAGAAATCAGTAACTACAAGGTGCACCGGGTCTAATGATCCCGTCGTTAGCTATGAGATTCATCAAGGTCTACTCCCATTTATATTTTTCTTGTAATCAGTAGAAGCATTTCAAAATCAAACAGAGCATTTAAATCTTACCAAATCATATCATTTCAAAGTTTAACAATCACCTATCAAAATACAATTTCTCAAATAAGTGTAAAACCTTTTTAATAATAGTAAACATATCTTGTAAAAATGAGATCATCTCAAATAATCTTTTCAGTATTATATTAGTAAAAGACTTGTCCCACATGCAAGTTCAAAACATTCGGTTTTCTTTATAAACAATGTGAAAGTCATGCAGATTATAAAACATCAATTGTGGTAAGATTACTACTCACAGTACTTGTGCTGAAAATACCAAGCTCGCCACTCGAGTATCAGTATCAATCCCTTTGGTCAATCTATAATCACATTCATATCAATTTCGTGTTAACTTCTTCATTCAAGGTAATTCATACTACATTAAAAATCCAGCCCCAGAGGTTTCATGAATGATTCGAAATTTGTCGAATCACCTATATAGTGCTTTAAATTTAATCCGCCATATCCTCCATAACTTTCAAAAATTCATAATTGAACAACTATTCCCATTCATACTATCTATTCATGAAGTTCACAGAGAGTTCAAACGATTCTCTTAATTTCCTCAATCCCAAATTTTCATCTAATAATCTTTATCTCCAATTATCAAGGTGATGCACCAAATTTGTTTCTTCCATTCTTCATGACTTGGATCATTCAATAGTTATTAAAACTCATCATAATAAACTACTGCTTATTGGCTGTTTACCCATTATACTATGCATATATCTGTGTCGAAGGAATAAAACAATACCTTAAAGTCCGACTTGATTAGGCTGGGTTCTTCTCTGTAAGTTACCAGAATCACGTGTTGCTCTTTGTCGCTGAATCTAGGTTCGAATTTTGAACTGCAGCTTTTATAGCTGTTGCGTTCTTCCCCTCCCTAGATTCCCCTTTCTTTATTTTCTTTTTTTTTCTTGGTTTTGCTGCCAGACGCAGATTTCCAATAGGGTTTTAGCCCCCCCTTTTTTTTTTATACAATTCCATATTTATAAATTATGTCTGAACCTTGGGATAACAAGAAACCATCTTTCAATATTTTTAACAGAAAACACAACCTATTTCTTGCATGTTCTAAATTTTCAATTCCCGAAAAGATGCCAAGCCCCATTCCAAATGTACGCAATTCTTCAGTCCGAATATTACTATCTTCCTCGAACAAAGAACAAAGCAAAAACAGATACTTTGCCTCATTCTTGCCCAAGTGGTCATAGCTTAGCCTCAGAGATTTATACACCTTTTCGTGCACTCCACGGATATTTTTTGCCTCTGCACGACGTAATTGTCTAAGGGCATCCTCCCACGAAGGCCTGGTTTTACTCTTAAGTGCACCTGCAAGTACAATAATTGCAAGCGGCAGCCCCTTACATTCTTTAGCAACCTCTTTTGCTATGTCAATCAGAGAAGGATCGTTGCCAAAATCACCAGCTTTCTGACTGAAAAGGAACCATGCTTCCTCTTTGGATAACGTTCCAACTTCCATGATCCACTGAGCTTCCATTTCTATACAAACATTTCGGAACCGCGTCGTGAATATCACTTTGCACAGATGGTTGTGGTTGCTACCGCTGGGAATTCCAAGCTTGTCTAGATCATGAAGAGCCTTCCAAACATCATCCAAGATTATAAGGTTGCGGCTGTTCTGATCCATTAACCTTGTACGTAGCCGATCTCCACGACTCCACAAATTATCCCCTTCTAGTTTCAGCTTGAGTTCTTCTGCAATCTGACCCTGAAGCCTTTTCAAGTCTGGTTGTTGACTGACAGTTACCATGACGACATCTTTGAACAACCCTTGTTGTTTCGCCTTTTGTCTGATTTTCTCAGCGAGTGTTGTTTTACCAGCACCACCCATACCACATATGCCAATCACAGTGACCCCTTCATCTCTCAAAGCTGCCATGACCTCTTCCTCTTTCAATTTTCTGGAGTCCAACTCCTCACTATTGTTACTATATATAGCCTCACTTTGAACTGGACGATCAAAGGAGATTACGTCGCCTTCAGTTTGAAGTTTAGTCAACTCCTCACTATTGTTACTATATATAGCCTCACTGTGAACTGGACGATCAAAGGAGATTACGTCGCCTTCAGTTTGAAGTTTAGTCAACTCCTCACTATTGTTACTATATATAGCCTCACTGTGAACTGGACGATCAAAGGAGATTACTTCGCCTTCAGTTTGAAGTGTAGTCAACTCCTCTGTAATTTTCTTGGCTCTCCTGCTGAGGGAGTAACGTGACTTCAAGTTTGGACAGCAACCATAAAAGCAACCCCTTTCAACCTCAGGTATACCTCCCATTACATCATCCACTTGTGCAATAGTGGTATCAACACTAGTTAACCAAACCTCGCCATTGAGTGAAATGCGTTGTAAGTTTCCCCGGGCAACTTCCTCACTTTTGATGTTCTTCAGCTTTTCAGATTCTTTTCCCATAGATGTGATGTTTCTCTTGTAGTAAAATAAATACCCAATCCCTCGCTCCACTGGCTTCATCAAGCAATCAGTGAATTTCCCCACCAAAATAGATAAGCATTCCATAGCTAGTATATTTTATGAAGTCTGAACTCTGCTATTGATTTTGGTGACTGGTTTTCTTAGTTACTGGGAAGTAGAGGTGTAAAAATGGTGGAAATGGAGAGTTTGGTATGAATGAAATATCAGAGAGTGGAAATGGAGAATTTGGTATGTAAATAAAATATGAGAGAGCGGAAATGGAGAATTTGGTATGAAGATGAAATATGAGAGTGGAAAGGGAGAATTTGGTATGTAAATGAAATATGAGAGTGGATTTGAGTTGTTTTCTTCCAAGTAATATATTCACTGAAATTTATAAGCTGAGCATTTAGGTTTTGAGTATAAGAAGAGTGGGGTCAAAATGATAACATTACTTACATTTTAAAGTCTAATAATTCCATATAGTATACTTGTTCAGATAATTTAAGAACTTGGTGGTTCTGAACCTAAAAAGGTTTGTTGTTTACCTAACTTGAAATTTTATATTCTCAACTACTAGTCCACTACCTCTCTTGCTTGCTTTTATGACCACTAAAGCACTTTCCTTTTAAATTAACTTAATTTTCTCCTCCAATGAACACAAACCATGTGACTGCTTCAATAGATTGGCAATATATAAAGACTAAAGTGAGATTAAGGACCAGCTAAAAGTAATTAACAAGTCTTAAAGTAGTGCAAGTCTGGTAATGGAAGACATAGAAAGAAGAAAAAAGGGGAAAGTAATGGCTAGCTTTTGGTATTTTCCATCCCAGTTTCACACATATGAATAACGCTCTCAAATTTATTGAAGTGAATTATCACTTGTTGGATTATTTACAGTAATTTGATCCCCAAACCTCGCGAGATCCCTGTCCCTTTGAGGACATCCAATAAATTTGGAACGATTCAGAAATATGGTTTATCATTTTTAGACATATATATTAGGACACTGCTTATATGCAAAAAATTGAATGAAAACACAAAGGCAGACAGAAATATCATTAGATACACGATCAATTTAACAGAAAAGCGTATGGGAAAAGCAGTTAACCATTTATCGAACTGCTAGAAATTAATATTATCCATTAAAACTTCAGCAGAGAATATTAGTAAGTCAACTACTATTGCGGAGTGAAGGAATGTTGTGAATCAAGTCGACTTTGTACGGGCCGATCTGTTAGGAATTATGAATGAGACTGACTTATATGGAATTATTGGGCCGAGTAAAATATTAGAGAGTTTTATTTGCGATCCAGGCCCAATTATCAATTGGTTAAATAGGACTAGGGGTTAGACAAAAGGGTTATGCTTATTATGAAGAAATTGTCTTTTCCTCTCATCTTCTTTTTAGAGTCTTAACTTCTCATCCCCATTCTTATCTCTATCTTTAACTACTTGTTATTTCAGTACTTCTCTTTGTAATTCAAGTGCTGTTATTATAATTTGGTTATCAATGAATATAATGTTTATGCATCCGTATTGAGAAATCGGGTTTGTTTCAAGGAAGTACTGTATAAGATCTTTTTCATAACATTTATCTTCTCCCCTTTTGGAATGACGGTTGGAACATAATTCAGTGATATATCCATCCGCATGATATATAATACATGTGGTCACGAGGCACTATCCTCAGATAATAAGAGTTTAACAGTGTTCCTATATTGCCTTTTAAATCTTGTTTTATATAAAAATAAAAGGGAGAATGCATGAGTACCTCCTACACTATGACTGAAATCCCAGAGACACACCAAAACTTAACTAAGATCCTATTACCCCCTGAACTCATTTTTTTCGGATTTTTGTGCACCTTTTGTGCTGATGTGGCACCTTCAACTACTCAAGTTGGTTGTGTTTGTACACACTCGCCCGCCACGTGTGTAAATGTTATTTTTTAAATAATTTTTTTTAAAAAAAACAATATTTTTTTAAAAAATTAAATATTTCAATTTTTTTTTAAAATTATCTTATTTTTTTTAATCTTGTATTTAAATTAATTAATACACATTATTTTTTACCTTGTATCGAAACTTTTTTTTACCTACATTCATTGTTTTTTCTCTTTTATTTTTCTACTAGTTTCTGAACACGTGTATTCCATGCATCGATACACATTTTTTGAAGTAATATAAGCAACACTAATATTGGTAAATAATAAGTTACACAAAATTTCATTTGAAACATACAAGCTCAGACATGATTGTAAATACAGTTTGAGTTTGTCAAATAACATAACCAAATTTAGCTAGACAATTAAGCATGATGTGTACATATACCACAAGCCAATAAAAATGCGATGTATAATTTTGGTCTATCCATTCGTATAGCATATTTATTTCATATATTTGATACATTAATCTATAATACCACTTATTGTGGGATTCAAACCCTAATGAATATCACTGTTTTAAAGAGAAATAGAAAATTGCAAACCACAACAAAGACATATTTGAATAGAAAAATCAAAATATTTTAGTATGTCAATAGTACTCATGCATCTTGATTGAAGCTATGCAACGTCATAACAATTTAAAGGCTCGATGGCAGCTCTCTTTCTCGATTCATGTCAAAAAAAATAGATTGAACCTTTACTCCCATAAATTTTTCTACTTCAAAGGTATCAAATTTGTAACACTTTTTCTTTTAGCCAAAAGGTTTCCGAAATAGGTATATAAAACTTTATTTGCAAAACAGAATAAGTGATCAACTTTAGTTAAGAGTAGTGCTACAAAGAAGGAAAAAAAAACCTATTTTCATCTTCTCTCTAGTGCAAAGTTTGCACATCTCGTGATGCTAAATTCTCAGGCTCGTTGCACTGCAAAAATTAGTGCATCCAAAAGAATAAAAGTTTTATACTCAACCAGACTGTTATATCAAAGAAGTCAATGTAAAATAAAAGTAGCTTCATACTGAAACCCAATATTGTGCTTTTTATTAGTAAAATCATGTTATGGCCAAACAAACTCGGCAATATTTATAAAATTGAAATATAAAATAGCTACAATAATTAATTAAAACTTCAAGTATAATATGGATCATCTGTATGAACTGAATGAGGGAAACAGAGAAAAAGAGCATAAAAGATTCATAAATTCTTACCATGAAATTTGATCAATAAATAAATTTAGCAATAAAATTAGTGCAATTGTCATAACATTTCTACAGTATGAGCTTGGCAAAAAACAACATTAATTCAAGAAACGATATAGAATTGTCTAGAAAGGGAAAAAATATATATATCAAGCACTGTAAAATTTAAGAAGTAATAGTAAGCCAAATTTAAATAAACACCACAAGAAGTAGGAAACTTACCTCTTTCAATTTTCTCAATTTTGGAAGAGAACATGTTCCCTTTTAGCAGTGACAACATAAGATATAAAAGGGGGGGGGGGGGGGTGTGTGTGCATAGATTTAATAGAATGTAGAGGGGTGTAATTAATTTTCAAACTGATATTATAGATTACAGTTTTCAAAGTGATTTTAATAAGAAGAAACTTTTGAGTTTTCAAAATTATGAGTATAGATTTAACAGAATGTAGAGCGGTGTAATTAATTTTCAAACTGATATTATAGATTACAGTTTTCAAAGTGATTTTAATAAGAAGAAACTTATGGGTTTTCAAAATTATGAGTATAGATTTAATAGAATGTAGAGGGGTGTAATTAATTTTCAAACTGATATTATAGATTACAGTTTTCAAAGTGATTTTAATAAGAAGAAACTTTTGGTTTTTCAAAATTATGAATGTAAGCAGCTAGACTACGTTTTTTTACTTAAGAAAAAATCACCTTTTAAATGGATGTGGCATATAATTTATGTTGAATTTGTTGCAGGTCTTTTCAAATTCTTCAATGGTTTGGAGCAGTAAAACTTCTTTTTATTATTTATTATATTATTATTAAAACGATACAATTTAACATTTAAATTAAATAATTAAATGCTTTTATAACATTTTAATTTATAGCAGGGGTAAAAACGTAATTCAACTTTTAACATTTTTTGTTCCCACTTATATATATATATGATGATTGATTTTATTTTCTTTGTCTTTTGTTTTGATTTGATTTCAAATGTCTTATATTTAAAATAAGTTAATTTTGAATGGATATAAAAAAAAAAGTGAAGAAAATCAAATAAACATAAAAAAATTAAAACGTTAAAATTAAAGAACACTTTTAAATTATTATTTTAAAAAAAATACACATAATTTTTTAAAAATAATTAAAAGTGAAAAGATAATAAATTAATTAGAAAAAAAGTTTAAAGTGAAAAGAAATTAAAATAAATATTTTGCAAAGAAAGAAATAAAAATAATTAAATATATATAAGTTTTATTGTCAATGAACAAGTGTACTAACTAATAATAAAGTTTCCAATCAAAAAATGACATATGTCCAATTTGTGCACTCATCACTTGTCTTCAAGAGAGTGTGCACACTCTCTATGTCATGTCAACATTTGTGGTGTATTTATTCCATTTTAAATTAGTTTAGGGGATAATAGGACCCTAGTTAAGTTTATGTGTGTTTCTGGGATTTCGATCATAATCTAGGGGTACTTATGCATTATCCCAAAATAAAAATAAAAGTTCCTATATATTTCCAATCAATCATAGAATAATGTTATATTACTGCACATCACTTGGAAACTTGGAAAGAGTTTGATACATAAAGTGATCATTGGCTACTTCAATTTTGGTCAGATGACGATTTGCCCATGCAATTGGAGAGTCACTTCAGATCAAGATCGAAGAGTTTGTTGAAGTCTAACACACTTCTTATCTATCTTGAAAACGAGTGTGATCACAAAACAAGACACTTTATTTAGAGGTAGATTTCTCAGCAGCACACATTCGAGGTGCAGTCTCCTGTTAGCTGTATTCGCGCTTTAGACTTCTACCTTGTTAAAAGGCCATTTTTATGTCTGTCTGATGATGAAAAGTCTGAGCCTAAACAAGTTATGCACACTGATCATCGAGATATTAAACTAATATGTAACTTTTCATTCAAAACAAAATAGAATATGAGAAAATACATCAACATATTACAATGAACTCAAGTTAATATACAAAGTCTCTGGGTAAAAACTATTGCGCTCACATAAGCTCATAGGTTACAATATCATAGATCCGCCTCTGCCTGCTACCTCCATCAGAATAGGTATCAGGTGATGTTCAAGCAAACTTACACATTTGAACTATTTCATCGAGTACTTATTTATTACCTTCCTAGCTTCGGAGTCACAGACATTAGCTTCTGCACTCACGAGATTCGGCTTCATTGCCATCACTAGTTTTTTGTTCCTGCAGGAAACAGAGAATGCAAAAGAACAGACATGAATAGCTTAGCAAGTACAATATTTACTTGAAAGAAAATGAGGAGTATCTCAGAAGTGACTTACCATAAAAATATCTTGCACTCAGAAGCAATATATATAGCCACGTCACAGACCACATCAGGCATTTTGACATAATTTCTGTTTGAACCTTGGGATAACAAGAAACGATCTTTCAAAGTTTCTAACAGAAGACACATTCTATTTCTTGCATGTTCAAAATTTTCAATTTCTGAAAAGATGCCAAGCCCCATTCCTTTTCTAAGTAATAGTTCAGGCAAGATATCGATCACTATCTTCCTCGAAGAAGGAACAAAGCAAAAAGAGGTACTTGGCTGCATCACTTTCTAAGTGATTATAGCATACCTTCAAAGGTTGATACACATTTTCAATCACTCCCGGAATATTTCTTGGTGCAGATCTTTGTAATTCTACAAGGGCACCCTTCCACGAAGGCCTGCTGTTAAACTTTAGTGCTCTTGCAACTGTAACAATATTGCAATCGGCAGCCCCTTGCATTCTTTGGCAACCTCTTTTGTTATGTCATGAAGAGAAGGATCATCAACTGAATTACCGACTTTCTGCCTGAAAAGGATCTATGCTTCCTCTTTAGATAAGGTTCCAACTTCCATGATCTTATGAGCCTCCATAGCCTGACAAACATCTCGGCGACGCATTGTGAATGTCACTTTCATCGATGGTACTTCAAGTTTGGACTAGCAACGATAGAAACAGCCTCTTTCAACCTCAGCTCTACGTCGCAATGTAGTAGCCACATCTGCAGTAGTGGTATCAACACTAGTTAACCAAGCCTCAACACTGGGAGAAATGACTTGTATGTTTCTCTGGGCAGCCTCCGCTTCTTGCTGCACCTCATTTCTGATTATATCCAGCTTATCAGATTCTTTATCCAGAGATTTGATGTTTCTATTGTAGTAAATGAGCTACCCAACATTATTGATCATGAAATTTGAGAATTTTTCCACAACTTTAGATAGGAAATTCATAGCTATGATCTCCTTTGTTACCAGTTGAGCACCTTTTCTCTACTCTGAACTCTGCTACTTGTTTTTGTTAGTAACTGGGAAGTAAAGTGAAAGTTTAAAAAGGATATGTGTTGGTGAATTTGGTGTGAAAATGAAAGCTGAAAGAGCAGCAATGTAGATTTTGATATGTAAATGAAAGATGCAATGGAGAATTTGGTTGTTTTGTTCTAAGTAGTATATTCACTTAGATTTATAAGTTGTGCATTTAGGGTTAAGAATAAGAAGAGTGGGGTCAAAATGATAGCATTTTAAAGTCTTAAAGCAGTGAAGCTCTCATAATTCAATATACTATTATTCTTCTTTGACAGTGTAAAAAGGGAAAAGTAATTGTTGCTTTTTTATCTTTCCTATGAATGTACGAAGCAAATTCTAAATTCCACACATAATTTCAAATTTATGAGAAATTGATCTTGCTCATTTCCATATTTACTAGGGATCTTGATTTATTTGTATCTTTTCCAATACAAATTTCGATCAACACATACCTAATTCTCAACCACTACAAGAAAAGTGTAAATTACATGGAGATTTTCCTGGGGATTAGTATGAAAATCCATGGGAAACTTATTTTCCTGCAAATTTTCATACTAATCTCCAGGAAAATCCCCATGTAATTCACATTTTTCTTGTAGTGAACCATATGCTAAAATCCGGAGATTTGGAAGATACATTCATACAAATTTTGGGTTGAAGGGGAAATTTTTCGGGTTATAATGTCTTCAAATTTGTATGCAGATCATTATAATCAAAAAATTGATTATGTTTTTAAGATTGTTTTAATTGGAGATTCCGCAGTTGGTAAATCTCAATTAGTGGCTAGATTTGCAAGAAATGAATGTAGTTTAGATTCAAAGGCTACAATTGAGGTTGAGTTTCAAACAAAAACTTTAATTGTTGATAACAAAACCGTTAAGGCACAAATTTGGGACACTGCGGGACAAGAAAGGTCAGTTTAATTTTTCAATTTTTCTATATTTGGTTCTTTTTAGCGAATTTTTATGCAGAGATGTTGTCTTTCTTTTTCATTTTTTCGCGCAATCCATGCATATTTAGCGAAAAATTTGTGCAGGTGATATTAATTAGTTTGAAATTATGTGTTAGGCATGTTAGGACGTTTACTTTAGGTCCTATGTTTTTCTGGAAGTCGTTTGGTTATAAAAATATAGAGAATTTCTGGTACTTATTATTTTTGTGTAATATTGGTTTGAGATGAGCCTAAATGGAATGACTTGGTTAGTGAAGATTTAGATAGCCGACCCTAACTTGCTTGGGATTGAGGTGTTCTGGGAGTTAGTACGTTTACTATTTCTTGGAATTGTCTAGTTTTGTCAAAGGTATGAAAAAAAATATAGAGAAATCCTAGTGCTTTTTATATTTTATTTTGTGTAGTATTGGTCCGAGATGAGCCTAAATGGAACGACATGGTTATTAGTTAGACTTCATATTGCTGATCCCAACTTGTTCGAGATATTTGAGACGTTCTTGTTTTTGTGATAAATCTTCTTAAAGAGTGGTTATATCGTGATTTAGACTTCAATATGTATGTTTCTTCTTGACTTACAATTCATCTCTTTTGAGTCGAGGGTCTGTTGGAAACAACCTCTCTACCCCACAAAGGTAGGGGTAAGGCTTGCATACATCTTACCCTCCCTAGATCCCATTTTTGTCTGTAAACATTTACCTTCTCAAGCTATGTTGCTGGGACTCTTGGGAAAAATGTTGCTGGGATCCTCAAAAATGCTCTACTTTTGAAGGATCCACTTTTGAAGAGTTACAACAACATAGCCAATTTGATAATTGTTGTAACTCAATGAATCATCTCTCATTTCTCTCTCAGGTATAGAGCAGTAACAAGTGCATATTATCGAGGTGCAGTTGGCACGATGCTAGTCTACGACTTAACAAAATGCCAATCATTCGATCATATGGCTAGATGGCTGGAGGAACTCAGAGGTCACACGGACAAGAACATAGTTATAATGCTCATCGCAAACAAATGTGATCTAGGAAGTCTTCTAGCTGTACCAGTTGAAGATGCTCAAGAATTTGCAGAAAGGGAAAATCTCTTCTTTATGGAAACATCAGCTCTTCAATCCACAAACGTCGAGGGTGCATTCATGACAGTTTTAACAGAAATTTATAAAATCATTAGCAAGAATACGCTTATTGCAGCTCCGGGAGCTGATTATGGTAAGTCACAATCTTTAAAGGGAACCAGGATCATTGTTCCTGGCCAGGATTCGGATTCTGGTGGGAATAGTGGTGGCTGCTGCATGTTGTCATGATTTTTTATTGAGTTCTAGAGGTCTTTTTATTTATCCGAAATCATAATATTAATGGGAATGTTTTATGTTTTATGTAGAATAGGGAATTGTTGTTGATGATGAAGTTGATTTAGATAGTTTGTTTAGCTACTTGTGTATACAGTTCATTAAATTGTTCACTGGGCATCAAGGGCGGAGCTACAACCCTGTCTACGGGTTCTGTCATGTATTTGTGTTTAAAAATTCACTTAATACATATAAACAATTTATCCAGAATCTACTATGCTTACTTTTCTAGAACACAATACTGATAAACTCAAAATCCTAGCTCCATCGAAGTTACAAAAACACTAGCATGGTGAACGGGAATGATAAAAAGAGCTCGTAAGAAACATTATCTGCTAGGGTCAAGGTCTAGGGAGCTCGAGCACATCGATGGTTGATAATAAAATTAGATGGGGCGGGATTGTATGCCCTGGCAGAAAGCAACAATGAAGGTAATTAGTTACTACGTTATATAATTTGAATACAGAAATTTATACAAGGTAAAAGTCTATACAATTATGCCTAACCAACAGAAGAAAGGCAACAGAATTTTCATTTCAAGATTACACACACTGAACACCTTTACAAACTACCATGTCAGTGCAGTCGACCACGATTAGGATTTCAGATTCCTCGAGGTGGATTATCTACAATGTTCTACTCCCATGATATATAGTTCCTCCAATCGGATAAAACCGATGGTAAAATCCTTATTAGTACTCGATGCTTATTCAAAAACTCTTAACGTAATCAGATTGGTTCAATTTTCCTTTCTCCACTGGAACCTCCTCTAACTGGGAATCTCTGATGCTGAGAATTTCCAAATTGACAAGTTGGATATGTCATCCAACCATAAATTACTCAGATATAGCGTCCTCAAATTTGTCAACCTCCGAATGAATGCTGGAAAAGGCGGAATGGTTTACTCATTCCAACAAAAAAAATCATCCTGTAATGTGATCAATCTTACAAAACAACGTAGAATGCAAGATGACATGATAAAATAAATCTACATAGGAGCTGGTAAATATAATGAAAGAAGAATATAGAACCACAGGCGTATTCCAAATTTAAAGTTGACAGAATCCTACAGTGACCTCAAGTTTAAATCACAATCAACTATTTTGTAGATATTACTAATACATATACAAGATCTATGGGCAATAGTTAGTGGGCTGACATGAACCCATAGGTTACAATAATGTAGATCTGCCTCTGCTTGTTACCTCCATCACGAGCATAGGTATCAGGTGTCGTTCGAGGTTTTACTTGCATTATTTCATATGAGTACTTACTACCTTCCTAATTTCTGGCATGACTAGGTTCAGCTTCGTTGCCATCATTAGCTTTTTGTTCCTGCAGGAAACAGAGAATGCAAAAGAAGAGAGAGATGACTAGCTTATTAAGTAAAAGAAAGTTGATGAACTATCTAAAACGAAAAGAGAGCAGTAGTAGAACCTAATTAGAATATCATGTAGCAATTAGTTATATAGCTAGCAGAATACGACATACCTTGTTATTGAACCTCTGTTGTATTAATTTATTTAGATCATCTACTTTCCCCATCTCTTGATTGAATATCACCCATTTTAGACTGGGTGTACTCACAGATATTCCCTGTTGGATAAACGTCTTCATTTCAGGGCAGCCACAAATAGTCACTTCCTTGAGCGTTGGAAATTCAAGAGCATGTTCTGTCACTTGTCAGAAAGAAATGCCCCAGCTTAGGCAGATAATTAAGAGTCAGATCTGCCAATCGGGGAAATAAGGTCATGATTCCTTCTCCTTTTGTGATCACTTCTTCCATTGATTGACAGCCTTGTATGCATAACTCTTGGAGATTCAGAAGACCTTTAGCCACTGATTGAGACATCAAGTTTCTCAATTTTCCACAACTCCATACTCTCAATCTTTGAAGTTTGCTGAAGTAGTTAGTTGGAAGTTGGTGAGAGCTTAGAGCACTAATGCTGTTAGCCCTATCAATATGTCGAGTTTCCAGTTTAGGACAAGAAACATGCAAACATTGTTGCAGATAGTTGGAGCTATTGGAAGAACACATTTATTTATAAGTGGACAAGCCATAGAGCGCTTATGTAAGAACGATAGATGAGTAGGTATTCCAGGTTAGGACACGAAACCTGCGAGCTTTGAAGTATCAAACATTGTTGCAGATAGAGTTGGAGTTATTGGAACAAAACACTAGGTCATAAGTGGACAAGCCAAAACTGCTTAAAGGCATATGACATTTTTTAAAGGTAATTAGTATCTCAAATACATTAGTATTTTTTTTTCCATTTGGGCTGAGTCTAGAGCGGTAGATAAGGTTGGCAATTGGACCGGTTTTTGTCCGGTCCGGTCCGGTTCCCGTACCGGTAAGTCCGGTACCGGTTGAACCGGTAAGGAACTAGTCTTATAGGTACCGGAACCGGTACCGAAACGGAACCCAGATTTTTATCCGGTTCAACGGTCAATTTAATTTTTTATTTTTTTAAGTTGAACGTTATAGAGCCGTTGGGCCCTTTTAGCCGTTGGGCTGGGGCCCAAAACGGCTCCAAACAGCCCCCCACCCCTCTCTACCCCTTAACACTATAAATATACCCATATTTTTTCATTTAAATCACAAATTCACAAACTATTTCATTAATATCTTATAAAATCTCTTAATTTTCAATCTCTCATAAATTCATAATTATTATTTTGTGATATTGACTTGGAGCTCGAATTTCGGAGATTTATTTGAAGTAAATCGGAAGCTTCAATTGGCATCTCTCAATTCCGGCTTTGGTTATATGTCTACTTTTACGTAGATGTTCGGTACATTCGTTCCAACTTTAATTTTTTATTTGTTTATAATTAAGTTTTTTTTTTTGTTATATTATCTTTGCTTGTTTTTCATAATATTAATTATTTTAAACTTGAACATGAGTTTGGAAAAATATAGTGGTAAAAGACCAATGTTCGGAAAGAAAAAATAATAGGGGAGGAGAAAGTAGTTCTAATTCTAAAAATTTGCCACCTCCTAGATTTAGAATTAATACTAATGATTATACTCATGTTGATGAAACTTCTTTTACACGAGACTCACGACCTATTGAATTTAATTCCGAAAATGAAGTAGATCATGAAACTTTAAATAGATGTTTTACTAATTTTGAGGAAGAATTAGATGAGGAAGTAGAAATAAATGAGGAAGATGATGAGACCCCTACCCCTACTAGTCCGGCTACCAAATTACCGGAACAAGATGAAGTCCCCTCTTTACCTACTTTTTCAAAGACCGCTGTACGTGTTAAAAGATCTTTAGTACGGAAATTTTTGGTACAAAATGAGGAAAAAACTATTGTTACTTGCACGAAATGTAAATTGATCATGAAACATGTAACTATGGGTACACAAGGGGGAACGGGACGACTAAGAACACATTTGAGAAAGTGTAATAAAGAATTTGCTCGCCTAGATGATATAGAAAGGGCTAATAGAAATGGAATACTCATACCTGAAAATTCTATGGGAGTTGGAGGTTCTAATATGGTTCAAAGTGTATTAAATATGACTAACCCGGCTAGCCGAAGCACACACCGCACATATAGTAAAGAAAAAGATCGTAGAGAATTAGCTAAAATGGTTAATGTTTGTGGTTTGCCTTTTTCATTTCCTTCACATCCTGGTTTTATTCAGTATATTCGGGAATTGTATAACCCAGATTATGAAGGTATTCCAAGAAGTACAATTAAAAGTGATCTTTTTAAATATAAAAAAGAATATTGTCATTTTCTTCGTTGTTTATTTGTTTATTATGATGGTAGATTATCTATTACTTCTGATATGGGACGTAGTCCTAATGGTAATGATTATTTTACAATTATTGTCCATTAGATTGACCATGAATGGATATGCAAAAACGAATATTAGGATATAAATAAGTTGAAGAAACTAAAACCGGTGCTTATATAGCAACAAAAATAGGCTCTATTTTACAATTTTATGGAATATGTGATAAAATAATGAGTGTCACTTTAGATAATGCTTCTAATAATTTAAAAGCAATTGATTATTTAAAATGTAGACTTTGTCCAATTGATAATGATTCTTTTCATATTAAGTGTGCCGCACATGTGTATAATTTAATAGTAAAAGATGACATTTCTCAATTTGGAATTTCTTGTGAAAAAATTAGACTTGCTTGTAATTGGATTTTTAAAGCTAAAATAAAAGCTAGAATTACAGAATTTAAAAATCGTTGTAAAGAATGTGGACTTGAATATAGAAAAGTTCCAAAAGAAGTATGCACTAGATGGAATTCTTTATTTGAAATGCTTCAAGTTACTTATATTTATCAAGAGCCGGTACAATTAGTTTTTAATGCTCATAATGCGGACCCGAATTTGAGAATTGGCTATGAAGATTGGGAAAATACAAAAGAACTTGTTGAATTTTTAAGTGTTTTTTATAAAGCAACAAATGCTGCTTCTGGTCAATATTATCCAACTATTTCGTCTGTTTTAGTAAATATTTGTGCTATTTCATCTGAATTTGCAAAATATAAAGGAAAAGATCGATTTGAAGATTCATTTGCTTTTATGATTGAAAAATTCAAAAAATAATTTTTCCCTATTCCTCAATCCTATTTGACTGCTACTACTTTCAACCCAAATTACAAATTAAAAGGTGTTGAAAGAATGGTTGAAAAGATTTATGCAAATTTAGAAATTAAAGATGATGAAACTCCTAGTGTTGAAGATTGTAAAAGTAGCATATATATAAAAGCTAGAGAGTTATATAATACATATAAATCTATGGAAAAAAATATTCCAATAGTTGAACCTCCATCTTGTAAACCTAGAAGCGATGATACGGATGATTGGATAGATGATTATCTTGAGCTTGAATCATCTACTAATAATGATTTTGATTTATATTTCAATCAAGCACGGGAAAAGATTAGGCATGAAAAAGGACAACTTCAAGCTCCAATATTAGTATGGTGGAAGAATCGTGAAAATCAATTTCCGACCCTTGCTAGGATTGTTCAAGATGTGCTAGCGATTCAAGCATCATCGGTTGCTTCAGAGAGCCTTTAGTGCGGCGAGATTTATGATTGGAGATCATCGATATTCATTAGCAAAGGATAGTTTGGAAATATCGGTGTTGTTTCGAGATTGGGTCAATGCCGAAAGAAGAAATACCGGACTACCACAATTAAATAGCCAAATAGAAGACGAAATAGATGAAATATTTGGTGATAATAGTGATGATGGTATGGAAGCAATGGAAGAAGAACGACAAATACAAGTTCCAAAAAATGTTTCTTTTGAAATGATACAAAAGTTACGAAAAGATTTTAAAAAAGTTTCAATTGTTAGTACAATAATTAATATTCAATACCTAGATTATGTACTCTTTGTCTCTTTCTAATATTTGTATTGTACAATTTATTTATTTGAATAAATATACGGCTATTCGCCTTGATTTTCTTTTAAAATAGTCTCTTATATTTAATCCAAGTCATTTTAGAAATTTAATTTTCAACTATTTTAATATTAGTTTAAACTTTAATATAAAATTGAATTTTAAGGTTTAAACTTTAAATTCAATATAAACTTTAAACTTTAAAGTCAATTTTAAACTTTAAATTCAATATAAACTTTAAAATTTAAAGTCAACTTTAAAGTTTAAAGTTTAAACTTAAATTCAATTGAAACTTTAAAGTAACTTTAAAGTTTAAAGTTTTAAATTGAAGTTTTTTAATAATATAATTTTATTAATTAATAATATAATATTATATAATAATTAAAGTTAATAAAAAATAAAAAAAATTACCGGTACACAATGATCTGGTAAGAACCGGCTCCGGTCCGGTCCAAACCGGTTCCAATCCGGTAACTAAGGGACTGGATGGAACCTTTGGAAATTTCTGGTAAAACCGGTTCCGGTAAAATCGGTCTTGTTGATCCGGTCCTGTCTGATTGCCAGCCTTAGCGGTAGAGATAATTTTTGAAAGGCATATGACATTTTTAAAATTAAAAAAATTACAATTATATATTTTTTTAATAAAATAAATATAAATTTATCAACGAAAATTATAAATATGCACCATATATTAGACGGTAGATGTATATATGCACCAACTTTATTAACAAGAGGTGCATTTGGGTGCTCAAAAACACAAAGTTGAGCAATATATTTGCCCATTTTCCCTTAATTCAATGAATAATTTGGGTTTCACTCATCTGCTTGTAAAATTTATCATAGATGTCCCATTTTTCTGCAAATATAAAATATAAACGAAAAATGATCTAAAGTGCCTTTATTTTTTACTTAATAAGGCAAAAATGTCATTTTTCAAATAAATAAATTATTTATTTTCTTTTTGAACATATTCTTTTCCTAATGATATTTTTTTCTAGCAAATGTTTATCCTACTTCAATTCGAAAAAAATAATATTAAAAATATTTCTTATTTTATTATAAATATCAAAATAAAAATTAATGGTTGATTTACTATGATCTTATATATAAGACATATATTATCCGTTTAAAGGGTACATTTTTTAATAGTTAAAGTAATTTAAAAAGTAAAGAAAACAATAATAGAGTACTTCAAAAGTAATATCTTTTAATAGGAATAAAATTTGTTTTAAAAGAAAAGAAATAATATATTTATGCGGAAAGAAATATTTTTGAGTCAAGTAGTAACAATAAGATCATTTCCAGAACAAACTATCAACAACAAGAACATTTTCTGACCAAATTATTGAGGGCAAGAACATTTTTGGACTAAACTATAAATTGAGGGCATTTTTTATTATTTCACGTAATTTAAGGCAATATTAACCCTTTTTCAAAAATTAAATTACAATATAGCTGCAAAAAAAATAGTCTTAAAATCTGTTCTCACTTTTTTCTTCTTTTCCATATCTATTTATTTTCACACTAAAAATAAAATAAAATATGAAACTCAAATAATGATAAGTTAATAGATCTATAAGGGAGATATTTAAAACTTAAATTAACCGTTGGATAAAAAGGCCACAAAAATTCACATCAAATATAGCCTTATATGGATTTTTTAAATAACAAATTAAAAAAAATTAATTTAAAATTATTTTTTCACTGGTTAAACAAAAATGATATATCTGAGCAATAGACTTTGTTTAAGTAAATATCTTTAATGCTCCAGTAAAAGGTAACATTTTGGTGATAAGAAGCAAACCTTTTCATCAAAAAGAGGATTTGAGTTGTTGGCTGTAGGCCTGAAATTCTGGAACTCAGGTAGTTAATAGAAGACCATTATCCGTAACAGAGGAACTCAATGCATCAACATTGTCACTGCAAATGTGAGTCAGGCAATGCAGAGATCGAAGGTTCAACACATATAAATTGGGAAACTTGATTACTTCAGGTGTCCGCTTCAATAAATGTGTCACTAAATCACAATCAGAGAGCTAGAGAAGTTTCACGTTCTGAAATTCATTCAGCTGCAACTCAGTCAACACATTATTAGAGCCCTTTCCGATTGAATCTACATATTCACTCTCCTTCAACAGGTGGCAGATCCAATCACCCAATAGGTCGGTCTTCGTGACCTCTAAAGCAATAATCTTGTCTTAATTATCAATGCTTGTCATCCCAAGGTAAGCTCCACCTATTCTAAGAGTGTACCGTGTTAGCTTGGAGGGAAGGCCAAGGTTACTGTAGATCACATCACTCCAATCTTCTACTCCCACCATATGTAGTTCCTCCAATTGAGCTAGCTTTGATAACACCCCTCCTGAAATCCTTTTAAGTGCTGTATACTCTTTCCAAAACTCTAACATAATGAGCTTGGTCAATTTTCCTATCTCCTCTGGCATCTCATTTAACTCACAATCTCTTATGCTGAGAATTTCTAATTCGACAAGTTCCCCAATAAAGGATATGTCATCCAACCTTAAATTACTCAGACACAGAATCCTCAAACTCGACAAACTCCGAATGGATGCTGGAAAACACAGAATGGACTGCTCAAATCTGTGTCCCCTCAGGCTCAAGACATTGAGGTTACTCATTTCATCAAAAAAATTGTCCTGTAGTTTGAATGGATCTTTAAAACGGAGTTTCAACATTAAAAGCTTCAGTTTTGTGCAAATTATTGACATGTGACTGAAATGCTCATAAGAAGTTCTTCTTGGGAATTCTTCCGAGTTAACATCGTGACTTACCATAATGTTATGCTCTCCTTCAGACGCAATACTTATAGCCACATCACGGACCACATCATGCATTGTCACATGATTTTTGTCTGAACCTTTGGATAACAAAAAACAATCTTTCAGTATTTCTAACAGAAGACACACCCTATTTCTTGCTCCTTGTATATTTTTAATTCCCAAAAAGATGTCAAGCCCCATTCCAAATCTAAGCAATTCTTCAGTCCGAATATTACTATCTTCCTCGAACAAAGAACAAAGCAAAAAGAGGTACTTTGCTTCACTATTGCCCAAGTGGTCATAGCTTAGCCTCAGAGATTTATACACCTTTTCGTGCACTCCAAGGATACTTCTTGGTTCTGCATCATGTAATTGTGTAAGGGCATCCTCCCACGAAGGCTTGGTTTTACTCTTTAGTGCTCCTGCAACTATAATAATTGCAAGTGGCAGCCCCTTAAATTCTTTGGCAACCTCTTTTGCTATCACCAACTTTCTGACTGAAAAGGAACCATGCTTCCTCTTCGGATAACGTTCCAACTTCCATGATCTTAGCTTCCATTTCTTCACAAACATTTCGGAAACGTGTCGTCAATATCACTTTGCACTGATGGTTGTGGTTGATACCGCTGGGAACTCCATGTTTGTCTAGATCATGAAGAGACTCCCAAACATCATCCAAGATCATAAGGTTGCGGCTGTTCTGATCCATTAACCTTGTACACAGCCAATCTCCACGAATCAACAAATTATCCCCTTCTAATGTCAGCCTGAGTCCTCCTGCGATCTGACCCTGAAGTTTTATCCAGTCTGGTTGTTTACTGACAGTTACCATGACGACATCTTTGAACAACCCTTGTTGTTTCTCCTTTAGTCTGATATTCTGAACGAGTTTTGTTTTACCAACACCACCCAGACCACATATCCCAATCATAGTGACCCCTTCATCTCTCAAAGCTTCCATGACCTCTTCCTCTTGCGATTTTCTGGAGGCCAACCCCTCACCATTGTTACTATATATAGCCTCACTTTGAACTGGACGATCCATTTATTGAGATCTAGTTTCACCTCATCACCACATTTGAGAATCGGAGTACTCAAAGATATTCCCTGTTGAACAAACGTCTTCATTTCAGGGCAGTCATCAATTTCAACATTTCTGAGTAATGGAAATTCAAGAGCATGGTTTGTCAGAAAGAAATGCCCCAGCTTAGGCAGATTGGTAAGATCCAGCTGTTCTAAGAGGGGAAATAAGGTCATGATTCCTTCTCCTTGTTGTTCCTCTTTTGTGATCACTTCTTCCATTGATTCACAGTGTTCTATCCATAACACTTGGAGATTCAGAAGACCTTTGGCCACTGATGGAGACATCAAGTTTCTCAATTTTCCACAATTTGATACATTCAATTTTTGTGGTTATTGATACAGTTGGTGCAATGCTAGTCTATGACTTAACAAAACGCCAATCATTCGATCATATGGCTAGATGGCTGGAGGAACTAAGAGGTCATGTGGACAAGAACATAGTTATTATGCTCATCGTGAACAAATGTGATCTAGGAAGTCTTCGAGCTGTACCAGTTGAAGATGCTCAAGAATTCACAGGAAGGGAAAATCTCTTCTTTATGGAAACATCAGCTCTTCAATCAACAAACGTCGAGGGTGCATTCATGACACTTTTAGCAGAAATTTATAAAATCATTAGCAAGAAAACTCTTATTGCAGCTCCGGGAGCTGATTATGGGAAGCCACAATCTTTAAAGGGAACCAGGATCATTGTTCCTGGCCAGGACTTGGATTCTGGTGGGAATAGTGGTGGTTGCTGCATGTCGTCATGATTTTTTATTGAATGTCTTTTTATTTATCCGAAATCATAATATTACTGGGAATGTTTTATGTAGAATAAGGAATTGTTGTTGATGATGAAGTTGATTTAGATAGTTTGTTTAGCTATTTGTGTATACAGTTCATTAAGTTGTTCACTGGGCATCAGGGGTGGAGCTACAACCTCGTCTACGGGGTCTGTCATGTATTGGTGTTTAAAAATTCACTTAATACGATTTATCAAGAATCTACTATGCTTGCTTTTCTAGAATACAACACTCATAAACTCAAAATTCTAGCTTCGTTATAGTTACAATCACACTAGTATGGTGAACGGGAATGATAAAAAGAGCTTGTAAGAGACATTATCCACAAGGGTCAAGGTCTTGGGAGCTCAAGCACATCAAGATTACAACAATGTAGATCCACCTCTGGTTGTTACCTCTATCACGGTGATGTTTGAGGTTTTACTTGCATTATTACATTGAGTACTTACTAACTTTCTAACTTCTGGCATGACTAGGTTCAGCTTCATGGTCATGACTAGGTTCAGCTTCGTCACTATCACTAGCTTCTTGTTCCTGCAGGAAACAGAGAATGCTAAAGAAGAGAGAGATGACTAGCTTATTAAGTAAAAGAAAGTTGATGAACTATCTAAAACGGAAAGAGAGCAGTAGAACCTAATTAGAATATGTAGCAATTAGTTATATAGCTAGCGGAATAAAACATACCTTGTTATTGAACCTCTGCTGTATCCATTTATTTAGATCATCTACTTTCACCTTATAATCACGATTCACTCTTTCAAGACTCGGTGTACCCACATATATTCCCTGTTGAACAAATGTCTTCATTTCAGGGTAGTCATCAATTTTCACAGATCTGAGTAATGGAAATTCAAGAGCATGGTTTGTCAGAAAGAAATGCCCCAACTTAGGCAGCTCGCAAAGCCTCAGTGCGTCCAATCGGGGAAATAAGGTCATGATTCCTTCTCCTTGTTGTTCCTCTTTTGTGATCACTTCTTCCATTGATTCACAATTTGTTATCCATAACACTACGAGATTCACAAGACCTTTGGCCACTGATGGAGACATCAAGTTTTTCAATTTTCCACAAACTGATACTATCAATTTTTGAAGTTTGCTGAAGTTTGCTGAAGTAGGCTGTTGGAAGTTGGTGAGAGCATAGAGCACTTATGTTAGAATTATAGAAGCGTAGGTATTCCAGGTTGGGACAAGAAACCTGCGAGCTTTCAAGTATCAAACTTTGTTGCAGATACAGTTGGAGCTATTGAGTGGAGAAGCCAAAAGTGCTTACACACATTTATTTATATATTTTTAAAAAGTCAAATATATATGTATATATATATATATAATTGTATATGATCTTGTTTCATATTTTAAAAAAGTTTTTAGTATCTCAAATACATTAGTGTTTTTTTACCATTCGGGCTGGGTCAAGAGGGGTAAAAAAAGGGTGGGATAATTTTTGAAAGCCACAACATTTTTGAAATTAAAAAATCACTATTATATTTTTTTTAATTAAATAAATATAAATTTATTAACGAAAATGATAATTATGCACCATATATTAGACGGTAGTGGTATATATGCATCAATTTTATTAACAAGAGGTATATTTGCTCAAAATCGCAAAGTTGAGTAGTATATTGCCCATTTCCCCCTAATTCAATAATAATTTGAGTTTCACTCATCTGCTTGTAAAATTTATCATAAATGCCCCATTTTTCTGCAAATATAAAAAAATAAACGAAAAAATGGTCTAAAATGCATTTATTGTTACTTAATAAGTCAAAAATGTCTTTTTTCAAATAAATATATCATTTTTTAAACACATTCTTTTCCAAATGATATTTTTTTATTAGCAAATGTTTATCCTACTTCAATTCGAAAAAAATAATATTAAAATATTTCTTATTTTATTATAAATATATATATAAAAAAAGTAATGGATGATTTACTATGATCTTAGATAGAACACATATATTATCTGTTTAAAGGGTACATTTTTTAATAATTAAAGTAATTTTAAAATAAAATAAACAATAATAGAGTACTTTAAAAGTAATATCGTTTAATAGGAATAAGATTTGTTCAAAAAGAAAAGAAAAAATATATTTATGCGGAAAGAAATAGTTTTGACTCAAGTAGCAACAATAGGAATATTTCCAGAACAAACTATCAACGACAAAAACATTTTTGGACTAAATTATAAATTGAGGGCATTTTTTTATCATTTCACGTAATTTAAGGTATTATTGACCTTTTTTCAAAAAATAAATTACAATATAGCTGCAAAAGAAAGTCTTAAAATTTGTTCTTACTTTTTTCTTCTTTTCCATATCTATTTATTTTCACACTAAGAAAATGAAATAAGAATATGAAACTCAAATAATGATAAGTTAATAGATCTATAAGGGATATATTTAAAATTTAAATTAACCGTTGAATAAAAGAAGTCACAAATATTCACATCAAATATAGCCCTATATGGATGTTTTAAATGACAAATTAAAAAAATTAATTTAAAATTATTTTTTCACTTGTTAGATAAAAAGGATATATCTAAGCAATAGACTTTGTTTAAGTAAACATCTTTAATGCTCAAGTAAAAGAAAACTTTTTGGTGATAAGAAGCAAACCTTTTCATCAAAAAGAGGATTTGAGTCATTGATGGCTGTAGGCCTGAAATTCTGGAACTTAGGTAACCCATAGAAGATCATTATTTGTAACAGAGGGAGCTCAATGCGCTCAACATTGCCACTACAAATGTGAGTCAGGCATTCCAGACATTCAAGGTTCAAGTCATATAAATTGGGGAACTTGATTACTTTACGTGTTGTATTCAATAAATGTGTCACCAAATCACATGTACAGAGGCTGAGATATTTCACATTCTGAAATTCATTCAGCTGCAACTCAGTCTACACATTATTAGAGCCCTTTCCCCTTGAATGTACAAATTCACTCTCCTTCAACAGGCGGCAGATCCAATCACCCAATGGGGCAGTTTCCGTGACCTGTAAAGCAATAGACATGTCGTAATCATTAAAGGTTGACTCAGCAAGGTGAACTTCACCCATACCCATTATTAGAGTGTACCGTGTTAACTTGGAGGGAAGGCCAAGGTTACTGTAAATCACATCACTCCAACCTTCTGCTCCCACCATATGAAGTTCCTCCAATTGAGCTAGGAATTTTGATAACACCCCTCCTGAAATCCTTTTAAGTGGTCTTTTCTTATTCCAAAACTCTAACTTAATTAGCTTGGTCAATTTTCCTATGTCCTCTGGCAGCTCATTTAACTCACAATCTCTTATGCTGAGAATTTCTAATTCAACAAGTTCCCCAATAAAGGATATGTCATCCAAACTTAAATTACTCAGACACAGAGTCCTCAGACTTGACAACCTCCTAATGGATGCTGGAATACGCAGAATGGATGCTAGAAAATTCACAAAGCCAAATCTGTATCCAATCAGGCTCAAGACGTTGAGTTTACACATGCCATTAAAAAAATTGTCGTGTAATTCGAATGGCCCTAAAGAATAGAGTTGTAACATTAAAAGCTCCAGTTTTGGGCAAATTATTGGGCTAGGATGCTCATCAAGTTTATTTGCAACTATTGACATGTGACTGAAATGCTCATAACAAGTTCCTTTTGGGAACACTTCCAAGTTAACATTGTGACTTACCATAAAGTTATGCTCTCCTTCAGACGCAATACTTATAGCCATATCACGGACCACATCATGCATTTTCACATGATTTTTGTCTGAACCTTGGGATAACAAGAAACATTCTTTCAATATTTTTAACAGAAAATACACCCTATTTCTTGCATCTTCTAAATTTTCGATTCCCGAAAAGATGAGAAGCCCCATTCCATATATAGGCAATTCTTCAATCCAAATATCACTATCTTCCTGGAACAAAGAACAAAGCAAAAACAGATACTTGACTTCATCACTTCCCAAGTAATTATAACTTAGCCTCAGAGATGGATACACCTTTTCGTGCATTCCAGGGATAATTCTTGTTTCTGCACGACGTAATTGTCCAAGGGCAACCTTCCATGAAGGCTTGTCATTACCCTTTAGTGCTCCTGCAACTATAATAATTGCAAGCGGCAGCCCCTTGCATTCTTTGGCAACCTCTTTTGCTATGTCAATCAGAGAAGGATAGTTGCCAAAATCACCGACTTTCTGACTGAAAAGGAACCATGCTTCCTCTTCGGATAACATTCCAACTTCCATGATCTTCTTAGCATTCATGCCTTTGCAAACATTTAGGGATCGTGTCGTCAATATCACTTTACACCGATGGCTACCGCTGGGAATTCCATGTTTGTCTAGATCATGAAGAGCCTCCCAAACATCATCCAAGATTACAAGGGTGTGGCTGTTCTCATCCCTTAACCTTGTATGCAGCCGATCTCCACGACTCCACAAATCACCCCCTGGTAATGTCAACCCGAGTCCTTCTGCGATCTGACCCTGAAGTGTTTCCCAGTCTGGTTGTTGACTGACAGTTACCATGACAACATCTTTGAAGAACCCTTGTTGTTTCTCCTTTAGTCTGATTTTCTCAGCGAGTGTTGTTTTACCAACACCACCCGGACCACATATCCCAATACTAGTGACCTCTTCATCTCTCAAAGCTTTCATGACCTCTTCCTCTTGCGATTTTCTGGAGGGCAACTCCTCACCATTGTTACTATATATAGCCTCACTTTGACGATCAAAGGAGATTACAGTATTTTGAAGTGTAGTCAACTCCTCTGTAATTTTCTTAGCTCTCTTGCTGAGGGAGTAACGTGACTTCAAGTTTGGACACCAACCATTAAAGTAACCCCTTTCAACCTCAGCTGTACCTCCCATTACACCTTCCACTTGTGCAATAGTGGAATCAACACTTTTTAACCAATCCTCACCACTGGGTGAAATGAGTCGCAAGTTTCTCCGGGCAATTTTCTCTTCTTGCCGCATCTCCCTTTTTCTTTTCTTCAGGTTCTCAGATTCTTTTCCCATAGATGTGATGTTAGTGTTGTAGTAATATAAATACCCAATCCCTTGCTCCATTGGCTGCATCAACCAACCAGTGACATTCCCCACCAAAGTAGATAAAGTTTCCATATTTTTTGGTTACAAGGAAGCAAAGCAAAGGTAGAATGAGAATAGGCTGAGAGTGAATGAATGCAAGAGACGAAATTCAAAACTGATAATAGCACCACTTTCAGGTATTAACTATACTATTTTGGAAGTGACTAATAATTGTACTATTCCTTTACAACTCTCACCCACCCCAAAAACTTTTTTTCAGAACAGATATAAAAATAGACATAAACCATAAATACATTCTCCTTTAAATTTGGCTTCAACAGATATTTATGTCATCTAACTTTGGATGTACACAAGTAAATATTATTTAAATTTGTATAAATTGAATAAGTAGACACACGTCCTATGTGATATAATACCTTAAGACACAAAATTGCTATTTAGAATGTCATGTAAGACGAATGTTTTATATGTTCAATTTAATATAAATTTATGTGTTTATTTGTGCACACCAAAAGAGTTGCAGAACATATATATTAGCGAAAACCAAGTTGAAGTAACATGCCTTTGGTAGGAAATATTTTACCCCAAAGTGAAACGAGTGAATTTAAATATCGAAAGTAAAACCCAAAATATATTTGCACATCTTTGCGGTACTACTATTAACTCTCCTCACATGGATATGTACTATTTTGAAAGCGACTAAACAACAAACACATGTTTGCCTTTCAACACCAATGACTAATTTACATACACGTTAAAAATTAAGGCATTTGAATTTGTAGTTTCAACTTTCAACATAAAATTAGTTATTTTTTGGAAACATTTTTTTTTTAAATAGTATAATATTACTAACGCTAAATGATGCATTTGTTGGATGTTGAGTTATTTAACTAGAAGGCTAGGGATCAATTCTCACATGGTATTCTATTTCCATATTCTTTTTAATGTTATCGTGTTTTAAAAATCATATGGTGCTTAGTGCAATATTAACCTTAACTTCCTTAAATTCTTAGAATGGATGTCTTACAAAAATTATAAAGCATTCTTTGACTTTTTCTACAAAATAGATAAGAATTCCATATCTGATTAATTAATTAATTTTTCACTAAATTTCTTAGTTACTACAAGGAAGCAAAGGTAGAATGAAAATAGGTTGAAAGTTGAAAATAGGTAGGTAGAATATTATCTCTCATATTGGTCTTTTTGACTAATAATTGTACTATTCCATTATAAGTCTCACCCACCCCAAAAACTTATATATATGGGTCTTTAATTTATATTATTAATTAAAAAAAAGTTAATATACTTTTTGACATTCTTCTAATCATAAAATGATATATTTTTTTAATATTTTAAGTATTTTTCTCTTTACTATTTAATTTATTTAAGTACAAAGAATAATTACCCATCACTTATACCTCTTTAATTTGTACTTTTAATAATATTCATAACATATTTTAATTTCATGAAGATTCACATTCAAAAATATTCTTTCTCTTATTCATCATACTAGTTTGTAAATTAACTAACATGTAACAAATTGAAAAAGAAGCACACGGGGTAAGAAACATTTCATTCTCAAGTCTTTATTATCATTTCCTCTATTTTACCTATATAAATTCATATTTAGTTTCATGAAGATTCTCATTCAAGATTATATTCTCTTCTTTATTATATTGGTTTGTGAATTAACTAACATTGCAACAAAAAAGAAGTATATGAAGGTAAGAAGTATTTCATTCTCAAGTTTCTTTTCATTTTTATGTATTTTGGACGTGTTTTTTTAATATTTTATTTATGTATGTATTACCATTCTTCAAGCAAATATGATAAATAATATCTTTATAATAATGATTAATCTGTCGTCAGTATGTGATTGTGCTCTCAAACAATCAGTTTGTGATTGACACTAACTTTATAATTATATAATATAGTATGATTACAATATTTGAATAGATTTAAAGAGATGATGATCATTTATTTGTATAATCACTACAACAAATGTGATATATTGCTACGAAATAATTAGCTACAATATAAAATTTGTCACTAATTGTTCATTTTTCGTGACGAAAGTTATATTTTGTATTTAAATACATGAGGAATATACTTTTAGTGACGAAACACAAATATTTGTAGCTAAGTTTTGTCCACTATAATTTCCCTCCAAAAGATAAGTTGGCGCCATTTATTGAGTACTATTAGCTACAAATCTAAATTTATCAGTGACACATTATTTTGTCACTAAATGAAGTAGTACCCAATATATGACAAATCATTTTTTATCCTAAATTTAATTAGATTTTGGACATAAAATAGTTTCGTCACAAAAATTATGTTGATACAATAGCGACGAATTATAAATTGTAGTTAATCATTGAAGAATTTAACCATAAAATTTATGTTTTAATTGTGACCTTATTTTTTGTCACTAATAATTTGAACAATTAGTGACAATTATATCATTGTCTCTATTTAACCTACAATTTAGCCAAAATAATTTTTGTCACAAAAAAATAGAATTTTCAATTGACTACAACTTTAATTTCGTAGTTGTTGAATAGTGTAATTATTGGCTACGAAAAATATAGGAAAAACTGCATATCTAAGCAAACATAGCTAGTATATCTACTTAACTAACCTATAGTTCTGAAAAGGAAAAACTACCTTATTAGATATACATCCATACCGCATATACTTATTCTTCCAATACTTTCAAATAACCTACCATCTTTTGAGGAAGATATATACACCTATATATAGCGTTGTATCTACCAGATACACTAGAATAATAGTGAGTGAATCAAGCGAGATTGGAAGGGAGATACTCATGTATCCCAGATAAATAGGAGAGTGGCAAGTGAGATGGGAGGGAGACAAGCGGGATTCGTTTATGTATCCAAGATATATGTTAATTCACTTGGATACAGTGTATTTAGAACAAATTACACCAAATTGACCCAATGTATCCCAAGATCCATGTATATGGAAATACCTGGACGCACCAAAATCTTATAAGATTCGTAATATTATAAACTAGAGTGTATCTAAGTAATTAGCTCATAAACTAGTGAAATTTATGTAAGTTTTCCATTAAAATGAATAATATGTGAAGTTTCTAAATTTCATTTAATTCCGGTAAGAAATCACAATCTCATCTTATAATGAATAATTGAAATGTGTGAACTATTAAAGAAAATGGTTAGTGTAGTTTATCCTATAAGAACCTTCCGATCCAATGACAGTAACATATTTGACTTATCATCAAGATATTATTCAACAATGTTCTTCAGAAATATTCGCCACCTGATTCAAGAGATCGAATCAAAATTTTCCTCTTCTGTTATTTCATTCTTTGATTTTATTAATTGTTTCATTTATCCATTAAATTATTATTTCACTTCTTCGATTACATATTCAGGATTTTGGATAATATTAGTAACTTAGTTTGTTGGTTATTTGAACTTTTACCTTGTTTATGATAATTTGATTCTCCATCTCATAATCCCTTTCTTTAACCCCATCTTGAAGAAAAAAAATTCAAAATTTTTATATCATTTGAATTAATTATGTTACTTTAAATCTCTTTCAATTAAATTCATCTGATTCTCCGAATAAATAAATTTTACGCTAAATATTAATGTCACACCTAAGATTTTAAGGGACGAGATTGACACTCATTATCTTAAACTTGGTTCATATTCGTTTTACCACACTCCAATTATTTTTCTGATTGCGCTAGTCTCACACACCTGAACTTATTTTAATATTATCATTAAAAATTATTCAATTTCAAATATAAAAACTTGTGGACACTTACAATTAATATATACAATTATTTAAATATTAAGTCCGTTCACATAGAAAATTATTTCTCAATGTGCTTCACATTTTGACCAAATAAAATATATGAGGTAAGAAGTGTTGAAATAATTCATAATACAAAAAGACAAAGATAAAAATATAGTTTTAATATTCAATTGAAATTCATTAAGTGAAAGAAATTATAACTTTGAGAATATATTTTATACGAAATTATTACAGGGAAAAGAAAATAACAAATTTTCCTCCACTTTCAATGTGTAAATTCCCCCTCACACCCATTTCCCATTTTTCATCCAGTAAACCACGCATAACGGCACAAGGAACTGCCCACTAACTTTCTTTTCATTTTAAATAATCAAAATTTGCCCACTCTCTTTAACTATCCAAGTTCAACTCAAATGCAATACATTTTTTCAAAATAAAAGAGACTCCTCTGCATTTTCTCTCAATCTTCTTTTTTCTATCTATTTTTAAAATGATGTCCATCCAACATTTACCATGCTCTATAAGAAGCAAAATATTTTCTTTGGTTAGCATAAGGAACCATTATTCACGAAGTTATTATTCAACTCCTTACAAGGATTATCTTAATGGAAGAACTCTTGATATTATCTTGGTAAGGAGATAAGTGTTTATAAATTGTGATAATCGAATAGTTAATGATTTTGTATAAAATTAACTAATTTTTTAATTCTATTATTTGTTTCACTAATTAATGTTAATTTTAGAATTATATTTTGTTTAAATTATGATTTCAAAAAGTATATACTAAATTATATTTTTTTTCACACAGGTCCATAAAGGTGCAAAAATGACTCAATGAGTGAAGATTTTAGATAAAAGAGCACGAATACACAAGGAAACTACATACTTTTATCTTTTTAATATTTATCATTGTTCCCGTACCTCATCTAGGTCTTTTTTTTTTTGAGTGATTTCCCTTGATTTACTCAATGAATTTGTACTCAAATGTTATCCCTGAATAATTAGAAATGTAATTACGATATAGTTTCGTATGGATTTTTGGTATTATGTTCCTCTTTTTTTTTTTTTTTTGTTGATTTATTTATTTACAAAAGCTATGTACTTTAAAAATTGAAGTATACATGTAATTAATGGCAAACAGTTTAACTACATATTTAAATAATACTATTATAAAACATTAAATACATTCAATTTGTTATAAATAATTTTATCCTTGGGTATTTATATAATTTTAAAAATCATATTTTGGTCGCAATGCAAAA